TTTAGGCAGTCACTTATTTTGGCCCAAACTAATTTGCATATCACCCATGCAATAATGTTTTCGGTATTTTGACGGTCGATATGCAAATGAACATGGTATTTCCATTGGCTACCGAACTATTTTTATTTTGTAAACACATTTTCATCTGCTATTTTTATCCGGTTCAAATCGTTCATTAACATTTTTGGCATGTACATCACATAAAATATTCGAGATGCGGTGTATTCTGCTGTGCTGCTTTGCTCGTGAAAGTACGGCCGCAGGATACACCGCATCACTCGTGAAAATAACTTCCGTACGCAACGAAAGTCACGGGGAGGGTGTGGGGTTCTGTCATAGAATACGTTTTATTGGACCAGAGTTCATAGCACCAAGAGCCAAATGATTTCCATGACTTTTCCAGACCTTTTCCCAAACTTTCGTGCATCCCCCCCCCCAAGACATTTTGACCCTAAATTCAGGCCAACATCATCATAAAAGTTCTGAAGATATGGTAGTTCCCTGGAGAAAACGGGCCTTTCTAAAATGAATTAATAACTAGGAAAACACACTTTTCAAAGACTTTTTCATTTTTCCTGTAATTTAAAGACAACTCAAAGACTTTCCAGACCCCAAAATATCCAAAGACTTTCAAAGGACTTTTCCAACGCTATGGACCCTGTGGACATAACTCCTCCGAGCTATCCTCCTCACAAATACAAATGATTGAAATTTCAGGGTCAAAGTTTACATTCTAGATGTAAATGTTCAGGCTCCAATCTATATGAACAAATATGCTTGATCACCAGATGATGATACTTCCATACGTGATAAGTCCTTAAATATAGGTAAACTTTTCCAGGAAGTAAAATAGATTTAGGCCAATAATTTCCAGAAATAACGTAATTTTCACCAAAAACTTTCTTGTTCATCTCAGAAATGACATCATTTTTACCAAAATATGCAGAGTTTGTTCATCTTATTTCAGACCAAAATGTCCGTAGAACAGGGTGTATTTAGGCGAGAGAAATTGTCAATTTGCTTGGAGTATTCAAAATCTGTTCATGTTTGAGGAATGATGACACATAGCTGAGATAAGGACGCACATTTATTTGCATACATAGACTAGGCCCACAAATAGGTCTCGAATTCATTCATCTCACATGACACTCTCAAAACACAATTTTGGAATAAGTTGGTACATGAACCAGAAATACCAAATACATTCCTAAATCACAGATAAAAAGAAGAGTTTTAAGTCTGTATTATATGTAATATACTTTTTAACTAGTATATTCATATAGTATTTATTCATAATATGATTCATGTTGCTCCATAGAAAAATATAAATACAAGTAAATCTTCACCTTAACAGATCACTCACTCTTTTTAGTAAGGAATCAAATGCTGGAAAGTTAAGTAGGAATATGTATGATATAGGCTATACACTGTAAAGTAGGTGCTGTCTGTTTTCTCGTAAAAAAGAAACCTGCCTCTACCCTGAGAAACACTAAAAGTGAACTGATTATACTGGTTATATATATACAACTATTTAACCAAATCATGAAGACAGAACTGCAATGTGTAATGTCGAGTCAGCAACAGTGTCAATAGTTCAATTATGTTTTATATATAAATATTATATTTACTGTGGAATACTGTATTTTCGCTGGAACTTAATTTTCGCTGAATAGGCTTTTTGGGCGTTTTGCTTGGAATTTATTTTCACTGATTTTTGATGAGTTTAATGTGAAATATAGGAAAAAAGTATATTCGCTGGATTTTATTTTCA